ACACATGACCAGACCTCCGCTCTTACTAATGAATCATTCTTACTGTTAAGTTGGTTCAGCGTTACAAGTGAACCTACCATCACTGGCGTATTTGCAAGAGTCCTACTGTGATTCCCATAACACATGGTTTCTTAACCCTCAGCAATCAGAGCTGTCACAAGAAAGAGATGAGAAGCCCTGGCCTGTAATTTTAACGTCTATATTTTTATTGACTGTCAAGGTAGACTACTGCTTACTTTAAAGTTTGATTTGAGTCCTCCATGTCTGATGTATTGAGGCTTCCATTACAGTCTCATGCTGTGACTCTGCTGGGGGGCACTGGGGGTGGTGGTGGGGGGGCATCCAATCAGGAATGAGGACATTGAAGGAGGCCACCTGAGTATTTTGTTCCCTCTTCCAGAATTTCACCATCACCCTCCCACTTATTAATACTCATATGTGCTGACCCTGATCCCTACCCACAATTCCATAGTCCCACAAAACTTCCCAAGGAGCTTCAACTCCCTGTGACCCTGACTTGACCAGAGCTTAGACCAGGGACATTGAAAATCACGGTCCTCGAGGGCCGAGTCCTGCTGGTTTTCCAGCCTTCCTTTACCTGTGAGCCGGGTGTGAAGCCTCTGACCAATCAGAATCAGTAATTATTAAACTAACTACCTGAGAGAACTGAAAACAAGGCCTGGGTTGGAATCGAGGGTGAGATTTGAAGATCCCCGTCTTACAGAGATTTTTTTTTCTCCTTCTTACCCTGGAGTTCTTGCTTCCTCTCCTCCGTTGTCTTCTGGCTCTCATTCTTTCTTTCCCCTTCCCCTTTTTCATGCACCATTCTGTATAAATGGTGCGGAAATGGATCACCACACACTCTTGTCAAGTGTCTTGGGGCAACGTAGTTGTGAAAGGTGCTATAAAAATAAATTGATTTGACTTGTGTCACTTGCCCATCAATTGACCAGTCATTCGGTGACATAACCAAAAGACCTCTTACACTTGTCGCTGCTGTAATGAAAGACCACCCGCTCTCAGCTCCCCACCCGCTCTCAGCCCCCCACCAGGAGCCCGACCCGCTGCCCGTTCCGTGGACGACAAACTTCGCGAGTAACTGGCGCTCATTTTTCACCTGGCCATTACGCACTTCTGAGAAATGCTGTGGCAGCAAGGGTCAAGCATGGTACAGTTGTGGGGACATTTGTCACCGGCCGGAAGAGAGGAAGGGGGAAAAAAAACCAGGAAGAGGGCCAGCTAGGCCCTGTCATGTGAGGTATACTGTACCTCCACATAAACACAGTGGTCGGCAATTAATTACCTGCAAGTTTCATACCACTTTTATTAACTGTTCCATGTGCAAAATACATTCGGAGCTGAATACGGAGCCGGATACCAGCGATGTTGATTGATGTTAAAAGCCGGTGACCTTTTTTAGTGTGTTAAAAATAATGGGCCATTTCCAGTTCACTGGCACAAACAGCCCAGCGGCAGGTAGCTGAACAGTAAGTGTTGCACCATCTACACCAGTGCAGGCCTTGGATTACTTTCTTGCATGCGTGTTGCCATAGCAGTGTCCCAGTGCATGATGGGAGAGCAAACAAATTGGCCCAGCAATCTTCCAAACTCATTGGGTTAAATAGTGGTGAAGGATATTTTTCTCCAAGAAGAAACCTGGGAACTATACTCTACGCAAACCAGGTCTTGAGGTGTCCTACCTATAATGCCAAAATAAATGACCCAGTTAAATTTGGATTGGGTCTTTTGCATTAATGAACATGTTGACATGCCTGGCCTGGATTTTTTTATTTCTTATTATTATTGTGTCGGCCTTTAGCTCAAAGAGAGTACAGATAACTAAAAGGAGGAGCTGTTAAATTATGGAAATATACACTTGAAAGTGACTAATAATTATACTTTGTTAGCATTTAACCTTTTCAAATTTGACTCATGTGAGCAGAACGTGTCAGAAATTACACTTAAAACAACAAATAGAACAGTGCATATTACACAACAAATAGAATTGCAGTGTAATATGCACTGGATTGAAACAAGATTCATCTCATAATCATATGTAAGATTTGCTAGATTTATTATTGTGCAAGTTTTTTGTCTCGACTCATATTTCACATCTCTTCAGTTTTGCAGTTATAAACAAAACGAAAAAGTGTAATCAGATTACAAACGAACCAGCTGTGCCTAATGACAGGTAGACTCTTCTTAGATAAGCTTTGATTGCCCTATGGAATACTCAAGTGTTCAGAGTAGCGTCCAGTGACCATCAGGCAGGATTCAGGAGGCAAAACAAAAACACTGGTAAAATATGATCATCCAGTCATTTCCTCTGTAATTATGAACGTATCATTGCTCACACATATTTCAAAACGACCTGCTGCGAAATTGTATTTGCTTGCTCCAAAAGGGGTGAAAAACATTTGTTAATGTACAGATAACATATTTTCTATGGTGCATATAAAGCTCATGATTTAATTGTTGATAAAGCAGCATATATATATCTATATATATATACTCCAGAATGTACTGCAAGAACGTACAGCCGTAAAGATCTTGAAATAAAAATGATCGAGGAGGCAATTAAATCTGAGCAATGTTCTAAGAGTTCTTCTTCACTCTTAGCACTGACATCTTCCAGAAGTTGTTGTGCTGTAATCCCTGTATAATACAGAACAACTCAAGCTGCAGTCCAAACCCAGGACTCAAGGCAATACAGACTGCATCCTTAAATCTGCGACCTGAGTGATACCCCTTCAGCTGACCTTGCAATCAGCAGGAGCTGCACACGCGGTATTGATAATAGGGCAGAAAAACCTCCGTCGATGCTACATTTAGCTTTTGTGACCTTGCCAATGATTTTCTTGGGTTTGACGTTCTTGTTTTCGTAAATTTAAACAAGCTTCTAGTGTATCAGCACCGCTTAATGTTTGTCTAATTTAATCCCTTCCTTTCGACATTGATTGCAGCTCATCCACGCTGGATCCCACGCTTACGTGTGAGACTTGTGATTTGAGTGCGTTGTAGAATAGTATACTTTATGCTACACCGCCCCCTACTGGAGATTTAGTATAACGATCAAAAGGTACCAAGAAACAGTTTATGAGACCTAAAGTGCATGGCTTACTTGTGGAACTCCCCACAACAGAAATATGAACTACTTTAGTACTAAACGGAAAACAGAGGTTTGCACCTAGCATGGCCCTGAGTATCTTGCCATCACTCTTAATTGTTCATTATCAAATGAAGGGATACCTATCCACAGCAGAATGTTAGCACGAGTCCCATTCTCACGCTGAATAAAACATCAAAAATTCACAGTTCCCCCTTTTCATGCCGAAAGTCGTCAAGATGATGCAAAAAGAGTACCTTGGCTGATCTCCAGACATTTTCTCAGTGATAGACGGGTCTGTCACATTAAGAAAAAATCAATTTTACACGTGAAGCATCTCAACCTAGTGGCTATACTGTAGATACACATATATATATTTATTGCCCGATGCATTGCGTCTTACCGATTACGTTAATTAGTCATTCCTACGATGCGTAAGATTTAGGTGTAAATTGAATACAGCTCACACAATAACGTTCTAAACAATTAAGCTAAATGCGTGTTATAAAAATGGAAATGTGACGGGCGTCATCATTCTCGTTGACAGGATGCTGCAAAGCCATTGAACGGGAGCGTGGGATGCAGCAAAGTGCCTTCCGTGGGATGAGAGAGAGCATCGAAATGCCGCTTAACATTGCCGTCTTATTTGCATAATTTCCTTATTGATTTTTGCTCGTTTTAACTGGCGTTTATTTATTAAAGAGGATATTCCCCTTAGCAGGCACGTAAAGGAGGGACTGGGGGGGCTGAGAATCTGCCCGGTTTACCCGAACTATTTATCGTGAAAGTGTAGAGGAGCTTTAAAGACAGCGAGTGCCCTTTTTTAACCTTTACACACTTAATTGCTCCTCAAATCGAAATGAGAATGAGAATCTCTTTCATCGCCCCTGTAAGCTGCAGTACAAAGTCCAGGCCTGTATCGGGACAGCAGAGAAGAGAGAGAGAAGCTTTAAATCATTTTTTAAATTGCATTTTTGGCTAAACTTTTTGGGGTGATGTATGGAACTGGCTATTACCTAAAATCCCTCAACTGACTTAGCTTAATTGAAATCATATTGTTTTTGGTATGCTGATGGAGGATATAAAAGCAGAATACATGCCAAATAATCTACGGCTTCTGATTATATATAATAATTTTAATAAATTTATATTATAATAAATTTCAATTAAAAAAAAATCGAGTCAAAATGTACGAGATCCTTGCCTTGGTTTGTTTTTCAAGATATTTATTTGTTAATTATTTTGAATCCCTCAAACTAATGAAAATGAATGCTAAAAAGTTCCACTCATTATTTCTTGAACTTTGTTTTATCTGATGACCCATAGTATCTCTTATTTTATCTCTTCTCTACATATTGCGAGACATACACACGCACACGTGCTCGAAAATGCTGCGCTTGCGCAGACTGTGCCAGGAGGCAGACGGCAGGGGGTACGGATCGGGACTCGGGTAGTAAAATATTAACACCAGCCAAAGCCAGCAGGACCACACCTATTAATCAGTCACATCTGATAACCTTAACCATATATTTAGCCAGGAGCTAAGGCCTACATGTATTGCTGATTTATTCAAATTGACTTAAATCTCATCCATTAAAATTAATCGAAAAAACAAAATGAATCGCCTCAAAGTAGATCTTTTTGACCAGTTGTGTCTCATTGAGCACGAACGCATGGATAGACAAAAATATCAGGTTCTTCCCGAAGTTTCTGCGGGTTCGGGCCAATAAAGCCACGTAGTTACACATTGTGCACAAAGAACTTGCAGCTATAAGCGAATGGCGGGTTCACGTAATTTATTTAGGTGCAATAAAACACTAATTTTGGTAAGCGAGCCGGACCAAAATGAGCCGTCAGATGATGGATGGATGGATGGATTTCTCTCTTTGCCGGTCAGCTACCTCCGTGCCGCTGCGCGGCGGTACTCCATTGAGTCCTTTGCCGAGACGGCGTCGCTGGGACCTGCTGCGGCTGAGACGCAAGGCAGCGCGGCGCGGGCAAACGGGCAGCAGGCGGTGGGAGGGGAAGCTTGCATCGTCTTATTTATTAGTAATAACACCTCGCTTCCCGGCTCGCAGACCGGAGAGAAGCCGCGCCGCCGCAAAAGGACCGATCCGGTTTAATTTAAGGCGTTCCTGAAGCCTAGTGCTTCATAAAGCTTCGGTAATTTTCCAGCAGATAAATAAGCATGGGGATGTGCCTTCCCTGCCTGGGCGGAGCCGCAGATGATGTGGTGGAGACGCCGGACCCTGTAAGTTTACAGATAAAATAAGCAGGGAATTTTCTAAATGTGTTATTTATTCATACTTCTACGGTTTTTACCTTTTTGGGGTCAATAAAGTTCGACTTGCAGTGCATGGTTTAAAATGCAGGGCAATGTCGAGATGTTATCCTGCTTTTCCCCACCTTGGGAAGTGAAAAACATGTCGGGATTATGAAGGCGATACCATAAAATGGCAAATGTATGTGGAGTCTTAAATTATATTAATATATAGACTTACAGGCTTTTACTCAGGACACCATGACAGGATTTCATAACAGTCAAATTCAGACTGTGTATTTTGTAATGATTCTGAGAATCTGTTCGCTTTTTTTTAAATAAAATTTGTTATAGCTCTTGTACTAATAAATATGAAAAATAAATCGGGGGTTCGTGTACCGCACTTTATCATAACTTGTATACACAAGTGGAGGGCAGCGCTTGCTGTCATCTTGCACATGCCCGTGAAACTCCTGTCGGACTCCGTTTCCCACAATGCACGGTTTGCTGCCATTACGGTGGCGCGCAAAGCTCCCAGTGCGCAATAAAACTGATTACGAATATGATCTATGGTCTGATTGGGACTTTACTGACAGTCAGTCAGCGCTGGAGGCATGAAAAAGTAATTTACTGATGGTCCGGGGGTTTGGCTGTTACACTTTTGGAAACACTGAGTTTTCCCCGAACAAGCAGCCACTCTAAGCCTAAGCGGTGGATCTGAGCCCTTTTCAAAAATACCTCCAAAAGACATTGTGACATTTATATCTGACATTTGCTTGAAGCTGAGAAGCTGGGGGGGCATTGTGCTGAGGGTTATTGTTGTAATGCTCCTGGACAGCAGAGACGCCCCTCCCCCATTGGCAGGTCCTCTACAAATCCATTTCAGATAATCCTTCATCTTTATTTTATGGTTGCTATTGTTTGTCCCATAAAGAGCTCATTCTGTATTTCTATACAAGTGATACACTTTAGCAGTCTGTCCATCTGTCTGTCCATCCATCCATCTTCTAGTGACACTACTGGAGAGAGTTAGGAATGTTTATCAGTAGTGGGATGACTCACCTTACTACACCATGACTGATCAGAGGGTTGCTGGTTTGAATCCCAGGATCAGCAGAGTGACGTCACTTTGGTCCTCTGAGCCAGGCCATTAAGCGGCTGCTCCAGTGATTGTCTGACCCTGATTTCTCAAATAAATAAATGAATAAGATAATAATAATGTATGGGTGTATTTAGCCAGAGTTCCACGCTGCTTTTTGCCCACTTTCTAGTCCATTTCTTGGTCTTTTCCCTCCAGGAGACGCGACGGAGGCAGTTAGCAGAAGCAGCTGAGAAGCGGCAGAAGGAGGTAAGGGAGACGTAACCCCTGAGCACCAGGAGGAGCAGGAAGGAGGAGCTCCGGCGTCGTAACACAGCGGTCACCAAACGGGGCGCTCGCTCCGCCGTCGTAACACAGCGGTCACCAAACGGGGCGCTCGCTCCGCCGTCGTAACACAGCAGTCCTCCAGCTCAAAGCAGTGGAGAAACGAGCACGATTCATACTTAGCATTTAAATTATGATTAATTCACTTCATCCGTTTTAGGTGCGTGTTCAGGCAAAATGTTGTGTTTAATGTGCCTTTTGCGTTAAACTGTACTGCCCTCCAAAGGTAAAACACAGTAACTACACCGACGCTGAAACTGCATAAACGGGCTCCAGTTTTGACGCCCTGTGTGTTTAGTAGGTAGGTAAATGAAAGCAGACCCAGTTTTGTAATTCAGTTTTGGTAAGAGATGCCGTTCTGGCGGTTTGCCTTCGTTGGGCAGTATAGCAGAATCATGACGGTCCACTGCTGAGTGGATGCCAGACTCCCTTCTGATTCGACACTTCTGAGGGGGAAATGTGTAAATATATGTATTTAACAGGATGTTAAGACGTGGAGAGTTTGGTTTGACTGAGCAGCAGAGTGGCTTGGGGGCGGGGCACAGTCCTCTGATGCCAGGCCGCTAGAGGCGTGCGGACAGCATGACAATCTGAGCTTTTCATCGACAGCGTGACCTACAGCTCAGTTTCAGGGCGATTGTGAGACAAAGTTTGAGGTGCCATGTCTCACACACACACACACACACACATGCGCACAATGTGTAAGTTTTCCCACCTGCTCCCAGGATTGTGTTTGAAAGAAAATATGTAATTAAACAAAAAGAAGATATTATAAAAAAGAATAAATGACATTAAAACAAACAAAAATAAAATGACTGCAAAATAAGGTAATAGAGTGCAAGGATATCAGTAGATGATGTGCAGAGAGAGTTGGGGGGGTGGACAGACGCTTGTAGTCTATAGGAGCTTCATCAGTATTCTGACAATAGGAACGAACGAAATGACTGAACATTCGGGGAAAAGCTAATCTGTGTGATCAGCCATGTTCAGCACCAAGCAGCAGATGTAAATACGAGGCTCCGGTGCTCGTTAGCTAACCTCCTACACATCAGATCCTCATCCCCCCCCCCCGCGTCTCTCTGAGCCAGTGACGTAAATCACTGGCAGGATGGAGTTTTATGGACTCTACTTCCTGCCTTATGGACCTGTTAGTTCCAAGGTTCTCCATCACCTTCGGGTTTCCCCAATATGGATCAGGGATCTGTTCCGAGTATCAGTTTGGGTTTGTCCACATACATTAGTGTATGCAGAGTACTTAAGTAAGTGACGGTCAGGGCCTCTCCTGCCGGAGGACTGTCACACTGGGACGGGGACCTTCTGGGAACGGATGGTGGCCCTCCGCATGACAATGACGCGATTCAGTCGGCCCTTCTGCTCCCTCAGATATCTGTTGGTCGGACACATTTTGCCATCTTGTCACCACGTGCCCACTACCGCCCCCCTGTGGTGTCACGGTAAGTGCCTTGAAGCTCAAGGACTGAGCAAGATCACCCCGACTCCAGGTGGCACCTCACTTTCTTTTGGCTGAGCACACACTGTCTGCAGAAGCCCCCCCCTCACCGAGCCACAATCCCCAAAGCTCCTGTTCTGTCCTAACAAACCACCGCCAAGCTCTTCTGGACCAGGACCAGCACCATGGACTGGACTGGACCCTTTTCCTAGTTTCACTGTTTCTGACTAATCACACTTGTTGCATAAGCAGAGAGAAGCAGGTGTTATCAGTCTGCATGGTCACATGTTCATGGTGGAATTTGAACCTGACCAATCAGCCGTCAGTACAAAGTTCTCAGCTGCTGTATACAGCATTTTATGAAACGGTAAACATTTATGAGGGAATGGAAATATTTATTTTTTATCTCTGCCTACTTGGCTATAGGGTGTCGTGAACTAGTTACCAAGAACCTCACCCAGACCAGTTCTAACTGGGAAAAGAGTTTATGGGTTACGGCCTTTTGCCAGGCAAATCGTAATGTTAATTTTTAGAGGCTAGAAACACAGAGGTGGGGAAAGTGTGACCAACGCAAGTATAAAGGCTAATTGTGTGTGTGTGTGTGTGTGTGTGTGTGTGTGTGTGTGTGTGTGTGTATTTGTGCTTTTTTAAAGACACACTGAAGTGTGATGAAAGTTGGTAACTGCTGTGCCGGAGATGCGTTTTAGAAAAATCGATGCAGAGAATGTGATTAAAGATGCTGTAGAACAGACTGAATCTTAACGAGTTCCATTAAAAGCACCATGTAGAGGCGTCATGGGGCATGAGGATGAATGGCCGGTAACCAGTGGCTGATGGCAAAGTGAAATGCACATACTGCGTTACACCATATACAGCACAAGAAAATGTTGAAATCGACATTCTAAATTATTTTTCACTAAAAAATAAATTTTACTGCATGGGGTGGGTGGGGGGGGGGGCGGATGATGGATGCAGCAGAGGATGGGGGAGCTGACAGGACATTCAATCTAGTGCAAACCAGACACGGTGAGACAAGGCTGTCTGTCTCGACTTTCTGGGAACACAGCGCCTCTCGTTCATTATCTGCAAATGTAGCGTCTGGGGAATCTGCCTGTAGCACGTAGCGGTAAGAGGCATCTGGGAGGTGTGCAGGTGCCGTTAACGGGGGCAGCAGCCTTAAGGATCCAAAGGAAGAGATGCGTCTGATTGCATGCGACCCCCGGCACTCCCAACAGCCGTTCAATCAGCGGAGGACGCGGCCGTCTTCCTGTCACGCTGCCTGTTTTCTCTAAGTGCCCGTTGGTAAATCTGTCGCTGTTTTACTGCACTGCTCACAAACTCTCAGCACTTAACTCATTCTCATCTTGTCCTCTGTCTTCCCACTGTGGGATCAGGCAAACACCAAAAACAGACGCGTTTCACGCTTCTCACCCATGGTTCCTATTTCACATGCTAGTCATCAATCGTCATGAATTTCCTCAAGTGGAAAGTGAGCGTGGAGGAAAGTGGATTGGATTGAAATGTAAGAAACAAGGAGGGACAAGTGGAAATGGAAAGGAGAACAGGCCCAGGGCCGGTGCAGCACCATCTGCCCCAGGAAGGGGGGAAAAGTCTTAAAATAGCTGCCTTTGTTTGACAGATTAGCTCATGCAATGAGAAGCTAAAGACTTCTGTTGACTTTTGTTGCTGTTCAAACGCATCTGCAGGCAGAATAGAAAAAGGCAGCTATACAGCTAATGTTTAGTTGTTTTTGGGGGGGTGTGGATGACTTGGGCACATGGACACCCATTCTAGTGCTTAACGCAAGGATGTACGACCTGACAACACCTGTATCCCGACAGACGTCCTACCGAGGAGTTAAAAACCCAGAGTCGGTTGAGAGGAAGAAGAAGAAACAGGAGGAGATGGAGAAACAGGAAATGATGACATCACCCTCAGGGGGCGGGGGGCTGAAGGTGAGGATGCTTTAATTTTCAGGTTGGGGGACAGATGTCATTGTGGCAGCGTATGTGGAGAGAGAGCTCCAACTGGAGAAGTTCTGCAAGACTCCGCACAGAAACCTAGAAGCACAGTTTAATATACAGCCTACAGCACACATAGCCTAACACATCGCTAAGCTGTATTTACGTAAAATCCTGTTTCTTTGAAGTGTATTAAATCTCCAAAGGACTCAATCATATTTATAGCTTGGAGGTCAATGACGAGATCAAAGCCAAGTAGAATATGACATCTTGATATGTTTCTCTTTGCAAATTGTCAGATTCCAGGGATAAGGGACATCCTTAAAACGGATTAAAGTATGAATGACATGAGCTTAAACACAGCTCAACACTAATGATCTCTATTTCCCACTGAGTGGGGCCATTACATGTGAGCTTGACAGCACTTAGCGTTCAGGTCCAAATTTGAATCCGCGCCAGTGGAAAACTTACCTTCTGGAACATTAACCAAGTTGACCTAAAGTCTGAACTATTACTTGTGAAAATGAATGTCACCATGTCATACCAAGCCAAAATGTTCAGCAGAAACCTTTATCTTATGGTCCAACAGATTCTCCCCGTGTCTCCTGGAAACTTATTCTGGCCAATTTCTTTTTGTAGTCATGCCACACACACTCACTAGCAGACAAGTGAGGAGATTCTCTTGTGTCTAATCTCTCCTATCTCTGTATTTTCTAGTGGCAGGTGGGCTAAAGGTTCGAGTGGATCAGGAGACGGACCGTTCATTTGGATGCATTTCGGTCGGCTGACCCGAGATGCTGTTTTGAGAAGATTTTTGTTTCTTTGTCATGCAAGCTTGTGGAAGGTGTCTGTGTCGGATCTTTAAAAAGCCCGTGTGCCATGATCCAAGCTAAAGGAATGACCGCCAGATAGGTTCCCCAGATTCACCAGAGTGCTTTTTAGGGGACACGTGCCTAACGATCCCACAACCGAATCGAGGCTGATACGTCTGGCGCTACAGGCTTCAGCAGAGCCAGAAGTACGGAAGAACATTGAGAAAGAGCAGCAGAAGTTATTTTCACAGCAGACACTTGTGAAATGCCAGTTATCTAGCCTCACAACACCGGCTTCAAGCAGCAACAAGTGTTAATTTAATACTGTACAAAAGAAATCACCATTACTTAAATTATTTCACTTATATATTGTTTGTATAGAGTGTCTTTCACGCAGATATTTATTCCAGGGACAGGAAGTTAAGCATTAGCACTTAGACCGGTGCTGTGGACGGGTTCCTTTTCGTGGCTTCAGGAAGAACGTCCGCGTCATACTGCCAGTGCATTTTCAGCCATTTTTTTGCTAGTCTAGAGATTCAGAAGTTTGTGAGAATTGTCCCATAGGTGTGACCGCGATGCCCTCTGAACTGGGACAATTTGGGCCTGTCCAGGCAGGCCAGAGGACCACAGAGAAACATCCAAAGGTCATGCCTGAACTCTTGCTCCCTCCCTGTTCCCCTCTCCCCAATCCCAAATGTGGTGGAGCAAGGGGTGTTTTTCTTTAAATAAAGTTGTTTTTGTCAAAGTTAAATCTGCTGCCTTTTTTGTGTGCAAGTGACAAGGATACAGTTATAAGGCTCATGGGGCAAATATCTTCTGCTGAATGCCTGCTAAGCCACAGTTTTATACTCTCTCTCGAGACATGCATAGGGAACATGCATATATTCAGGGAAACAGCACCCTCTACCAGGAGGAACCTGGATGTCTTATGTAGTCATGGACAAAAGGATGCTTCATGAACCATTTGCTGTATTTTTTGATCCCACTAGATGGCGCTCTCTGTTGAAAGAAAAGGGCCCCAAAGCAAACCAAGAGCACCATCTAGTGAGGTCAAAAGATACAGCAAATTGTTCATGAGGCATCATTTTGTTCATCACTACTGTCAAGGTAGTTAGTTCATCCCCAATATTCAAACATGCTGGAAGTTAACAGTGAATCCATCTAATTATGAAATGAAACTCACTTAATTGCACCTTCACTTATCTGCTGAAGAGAAACCTCACAAATAGGCTTCGCATATAAATGGGGAAAATCCATAGGTCCATCAAGAAACTAACACATTGTCTTTGTTTGTTCAATGGTGCATCAAACTATAATACAGCTTCACAGTTACTCAGACGATCATCATTTGTTAAATTGAAGCACTTGAGTAGATGCCTGAAGGAATATGGGGCTTGAGGTGTGGCGATACCCTGGTGTGGGACACTAGCTCATGTTTGGGGTCCCTTGATTGTGAGCGGAAATACCTAAACACCACGTAACACCCATGGTAGTCACAGGCACCGTGCTACATTCAAACATGATAATTTACTTTAAATGTTTAGTTCTATGAATAACACCAAAACAATTCCAACCACAGGTGCTTTTGCATAGAAACACAATTTTTCCTATTTGTCAGAAATACACAGGCATATGATTCATCAGATTTCCCATCTACTCCTAGCATGTTTGATGTAGATTTTGATACATGTTATTTTAGCATGTACCTCAATTGCCACTATTACAAATTCTTTAATTCCCTTAACCTTTTTGTAAGCAGCATCTATGTATGCAGCCAATTAAATGTCATTGTGTGATGAAAGATCGATCACTTAGTTTAGTGTATCAAAGCAAATATACATCGTCCAAAAACCGAAGAATAAAATCCCATTTAAAGTTTTAGAAGGTCAATTAAACGAAACTACTTACCCGGTACATCATTTTCAACTCTTGTCAGAAAGTCTGTGGCTTTTTCTCCATGTGAAATGCAGGGAGATTACTTGCTTTTCCGCTTTTACCTTTAGGTTTGAATTACAGAGTATCACACGCATATCAGCCCGCCCTGGGGGGCAAAGGGACTGGTCTCTGTTCCCCTTTTTTAAAATCACATCAAACACACCAGTAAATTGAACACTACGTAACAACCTATTGTTTTACAGAAAAATTGTCATGGACCGCAGGTTTATCTAATCAAATATTGATTACCATGCTTGAGGTCTTTCGTGTTAAAATCGTGAATGCTCGGTTAAAATTTACCACTTTTGTTACTCACTGCTACATTAAATGTTTTTTTTTAAAGAATGTATTTCTAAATTGGAATTGGCAAACTAAATTCTACCATATCATACTTTAAAACAAATGTTTTTATTAAAGAACAAAGGTTTGTTCGTAAAGTTTTATAAAAAATCACGCTATTTCATAGTTTTGGTTGGTTGTCGTTCATTATGACACCACTAGGGGCCGCTAACGTACTGCTTTATAACGTTGACGAACTCATTGCCCTTAAGCGTTAGTCAGACGTGTAAATGTGTTAAAAATTATATATATATATATATATTGCTTAGTATCATTTTAATGAAATGACTTGGCATTAAATTTGGTTTCGGCCTTGATTTCTGGCACAAAACTGGGACGATTACATGTGCAACTCAGTGTGAAAAAACAAGTGGCTTAGCTGTCTCTCCTTCTGCTCCCAGCAAAGCTGTGCTGGTGATGAGTCACAGGTATGAGGCAACTGTCATGCAGTCAGAGCTCGGCTGCCTGCTGCTTCTCATCCAACTGTTGACTGGAAGTCTAAACACATACACCTCGTCTGTTTTTTTCCATACCACAGAAGTGTGACACACCCAAACATCCCTGATCACGATCGGTCCTTCAAAAAGCGATGCAGTTAAAACACTGCACACTATTCAGCGTCTGACCCAGAATGCATTTCTTCAACAGCATAGAGTTTCTTCCATTCTTTGATTTATCAGGTACATTTAAAAGATATGGAGGATGGGCTTCCATCCTTCGAACTGTAAACCTTTTGCATTGTTTTGACATGGTTTTTTAAAGGAAGTTGCCTTTGCATGTTCTATCTCTATCACTCTGCAGCAAACACCACCTACTCTTCCACCTCATACACCACAGAATCGCCGTTCGGTAATAAGAAACCAAATGTGGCCACAATCTCCCATCACCGAGGTGTGAACTAGAGGCTAGATCCACCTGAAGCAGCTTCAGACTGACCGTGACCTAGTTCTTCGTCATGCCAAGCCGTGAGAGTTCCAGAATACGTAGATTCTGATGTCTGATGTCCATTGATGGTGATGTGGGATGGATTTCCTTTTTAATCAGTGCCCCTCCCAACCACCCCAGAGCTACTGTTGTAGAGTTGAGAAGACCATTGACAGGAAACACCCAGGTTAACTCAGATGAAAGGGTTCCTTTACTTTTCAAATCAAGTCTATCAATGGACAAAAGTCTACATAAAGGAGAGGAGGAAAGAAATAAACATTTTTCATTACAGAGGACACATTTTAAATGATTCAGGCATAAAAATCTGCATAAGGCCATCAATGGTAACCACATGCTAATGTGATTGTCTCATTTTGGTGTGCACTGGACAGAGGTGGTTAATTCAGGTCCAGACCGTAAAGGTCCAGACCAAGATTTAGTTTCAACCAACCAGTTCAGTATAAAGAGTCACAGTCACAGAGTACTCATCTGGTTGGTTGAAACAAAATCCCGGTCTGGATGTTTTCTCTCTGTACTTGAATTACCCAGCTCTGGCACTGGAACTGGTACATGTTTAAAAAACATCCATATTTGGCATTTCTTATAACATTCGTTCTCACTTCAAGGCAAGTGCGACAAGACAGTCTCACTCTTAGCAAGCAGGATGGGGCTTTGTTCATTTTGAGCATCTAGATGGTGCACTGAAGTCTCTAAACTGAGGCTACAATAATAATGATTGGTATCAACTAACAGTAATCAGTGTCATTAAAGTACGGGGAACATTCCAACATCCTTCTGATTGTCCATTTTGCATGTGATTCCTCAATCGCATCCACATTAGCAGCTGGGTCTTTGGTATGAACCAGGTGGATGGGATCAATGTGCAGCGTCAACCTCCAAATGGAAAGTGAGGTAAAGCAGCTAGTGACGAACAGCATTTTGCAACATCATTATTAACATCATTAACCTCTGGGTAAAAGGAAGGACGCGATATTTTGGGAATTTCCTAATCCTGGTCCTAGCATTTCACAGTAAGGAGAGAATTTCATTCAGGTTAATTCCTCAATTAATTATGTTTGATTAGAGTATTGAAAATGATCAGCCTAGATGTCCCCACTTAGGTTAAAAAGATATGGACACTTTAAAGAAACAGGGATACTTTTGCTAATAATAATGTCAGATATGTTCTATATAGGTGTGATTTATTTACAGCCCTCAAAATATGCAGCATAAATAAGGTGTCGGCTTAATCGTTTAATCAGTGATTATATTAAATGCTCAATGGCAAGAAACTCATTAAGTAATCATTAATGAAAAAAAGAAAGATGAAATAATGACAATTACAATTATAGGTTATTACTTTTAAGGAACACAAATATGAAAAGCTTAAGAAGTTAATTTTTGTGTTTCATTTCTATAATAATGAAAAACATAATTCTATCAAAAGCTCAAACAAGCCTAACTGTCCATCATCCAAGACCAGGACTGGGAAATCTTGATACCTGTAGGAACCAGTCCAGAGGTCTTAACACTAGAGGCCAGCTTCTAGTAGGTGAGGATCATGGAGATGCAGATCTTCTGGGAGCAGAATGGGACACCGGCTCTCACAAATTAATGAGGAACTGGTCACCTTACTGGCAAATCACCTTGCTGGCTTAGTTGCTCAAACCCTGAGGAGCTGAGCTGTGGAAACACAGACTTTTTTGTTTATGGAAACACCGAGACGGGAAAAGTATGGAGTCGGAGCCCCATTGCAAACTCGCCTCAGATGTCATGTCATGCTGATTGTAGGCAGAGCAAGGCTAAGGAATCTTTGCATGGGTCATGTTTATAAGCAGGGGAGCAGAGGGTAACAAACTTTCAATTCTAAGGCCGTTATGTTTCAAACCGGCTCCCCCCAGCCGCAGGTTATAACAGGCAGTGGGAGAACGTCTCTCCAGAAACTTAAACATATGTTCAGTTCATCATCTTGACACAGATTAAGTTGCGTGTTCCTGCCTACACCTCTATCTCTACAGGCAACCATTGCTATAGTTCTTCTACAATAGTAATAAAAATTAGAATAAAACGTTCACTCCTAACCATCCTGCTCCACTCAACTGGGAAGACGCCACCCAGGTACTGCCCCAAAGTGGAACCTGATTGGTCAGTCCAAGTGTCAGTTATGAACGATATCAGCTCATCTGGGATGTTCCACTCCTGGTGATGGGATGGGGAGGTTCCCTCCCTATTTCTTGCTCCTGTGATGAGCAGCCACCACGAGGTAGCTGTCGGGGGCAAGATCCTTGAAGTTGGGCATCTTGCCGGCCACGGGGGAGATCTTGCCCTCCACGCGGGAGATCTGCAGCATGCGGCAGGGGTCGTGCTTCAGGAGGTATCCCTCGAATGTCTCCCAGCCACCCCCTACACGCACCATGACATGTTTGTTGTGCAGCATCTATGGAGGAGAGAGAGGTACTCAGGCTTTGGGGAGGGGGTGGCAGACTTGCCCCTTCTAGAACAGGGTGGTGTGTGGCTCAACAAGATTGAATATTGTTCCATTAATCGGAAGGTTGTTGGTTCAAATCCTGGGGTTGGCAGGGTAATGTCACCATTGGGTCCTTGACCAATGCCCCTAACCCAGCTTGCTCCAGGAACTGTCTGGCCTGTCTGTACATGCTTTCTCCAGTGTATGTCACTTTGGATAAATAATCTGCTAATTAAATAAACATAACTGAAGGAATCAAAAGCTGCAGAGCTATCCTGTGTGGAGCTGGTGTGCTGAGAATGCCTGCCCGTGACCCAGCCACACAGTGGAACCTCCAAAACAGCAGCCTGGTGTCTGGCTTTACTGGCCCGCAGACGACGGTAACCTCCCCCCTAATGAAATATTCAGAGCCTCTCCTCTCTGGGGGCCCCGGGAAGGAGAATATGACTTCCTCTTGCAGGGGCAACATTACCTTTTTAAAAATTCATTCTGCAGCAGACAGCGCTTCGTATGACCTCATAAGCAGGGTCCGGGATCCCCGCGCCGCCTCACAAGCCCCGCCCCCAACCCAGTCCAGCTCATTCTGCATGTACACTAATGCGCCAGGCTAGGGCAAGGTACCGGGCCCTTCCACAGGGAGGCGCCGATCAAGTCTAGCGCACAGCCTTAGACACCTATGGACGCTCCCGCCCCTCCCCCCCCACCTGCTGCTGCTAACGGGCACAACGTGTTCCCAGGCTCTGGGTGCCATGGCAACAGCTCCGCAGCTAATAAATAAATAAAATAAAGAAATAAATAAGTACGCCGGCAGCCCAGCAGCCAGCAATCCCAGAAGGCCTTGCAGGGCCATCCGTCCTCCTGTCTCTGGCGGGCCCGTGCCCCCCCCCCCTCCTGCTTTATTGGTGCTAACCCCTTCATTACAGCCCCATTAAGCCTCTAGTAAAACAAGCAGATTTACACCACCCCCCCCCTTCCCCTGCCTGCTGATGGTTGAATGAGTGCCGCGTGTCACATGTCTGGGAGGAGGGGGGGCAGTCCCACGTGTGACATAAATGTCCCGCTAATTTGAAATCGGTGTCTCGACATCGTCAATTTTACCCGCCTCAGCTGCTCGCAGGAAGATTAAAACTACAGCGACGTTTCTGGGGTCAACAGTGACGTTCTATGACATATGAGCTCTAAGCCAACAAATCCATCCAATGAGCAGACGGCAACTGGAAATACACCCGGATACATTTCACCTTCTATTCATTTACCACACACTTTTATCCAAAGCGAGGTAAGTTAGACACACACACTTTCTGGAGGGGCTACAGGTTAATTGGCTCATTTTGGGACCCAACAGTGAAATCAGCGTTCCAACCCCAAGATTTTAACCAGTGACCTTCTGATCACAGGAACGGCGTCTTGGCCAGCTGAGTCACATGTTATCTCCCAAATATAAACCTCATTGATCCTCGGGGGAATCTTGAAAGCACAAGGTGCTTTAGCTAGCTGGAATGAGGTTTGAACCCACACAGACATAGAGCCAACGCACTCAGCCATACTTGCCTGAGTACAAAAACACACACATATGCGCATATGCATCTGGGAATGTATTTGACGCACTTTCCTACGAGAAAAATCTTGTCCTTGTCACAAGTCCTGAGTCACTACCTCTCCACCAATCAGGGATCAGCATCCGTTAGAGATCAGCATCGCTCAGGGACCAGCGTCTATTAGCACTGACTGACAGCTCGAGTCCCTGCAGCACTGTCATGTAGCTCTGACTCTACACCCGTGCTAATATGCGTTAGCCGCCGAGAAGAGCCCGGCCGGCAGCCCTGGGCCGGCATCTGCTGCTCCATCTTCCCAGGAAATATTTCACCCCCCCCCCCCCCCCCCCCCCCCCCCCCCCCCCCGCCCCTGGTCCCGTAGGCCGCCGCCATAGCAGGGCATGGGCGGTTCACCGTTCCCGGGAAGGGACACACCTGCCCCACGGCTCTGTGACTGGGAACATAATAAGCTTCTGTTACGGAAGGTTTTCAATCAGGCTCTAAGGTCCAGTGGGAGGCAGCCCCCCGCCCCCCCTCGACCCCCACCTCTCTTCTCTGGTGCCCAAGTAGATGTATTAACCCTGCCTGTGGGCTTTCAGGGCCGTGTGTAGCGCACCACCTCCCCTAAGCCCAAACGTCTGCAATAGATTACCCCCCCATACCAACGTGGCCCCCCCCCATCACCCGTCTCTGCTGAATTTCCCTTCCTGACGGACAAATGACCTCATTTTCATATCCCTGGGGGTTTTGGGGCATTACAAACAGGCTTTTGCTGGTTTGAGTAAAGGCGGCAATCAGCCGCTCTGAGAATACTGTCCCTTCCTGTCACCACGAAAAATCGCTGAGCTCCCAATCAGCAACTGCCTGCTTACGTCTCTTTTACATTTTCTTTGCCTTGTCTCAGAACGAGCTGAGAGGAACAGAAGGCTAACGGAAGGCTTTTAAAACCTTAAAAAAGTCAATAAAGCCTAAATCCAATACATTAAAATTCTATTTTGCCTTTTGACAGAAGAATACGAGCTTCGATATGATCGTTATGATCTGCCAGTAAGAATAAACTAAGTTGTTTCATACACACACAACGCACACATACACACACCACGCGCACATACACACACCACGCGCACATACACACACCACGCGCACATACACACAGTCAGCAAAACGGCCATTTGCACGCTGTAAATGTCAGTCACGACTCCATCTGCTCTTCTGTACGATAACAACTTTAATTAAATATGCACCAACACGTGCACTGCATTATGGGCATTTTTTTTGGAAGGCTTGCAAAGGGTGAAAATTCACTGTGTTCAAAAGCGACTCTTGCTTTGTTATATCTGCTTCCTAATTGGGATGGGGGGTGTGTCGTCCGGGGGGGGGGG